GAGAGAAATGGAAAAGCAACAGGTGTCCTGGTAGCAGATTTGGGTATAGGATCATGTTCTCCATTCTAAGAGCAGACCCCAAAACTCTCATACATGAACTCTACTCCCCAGACACAAGAAGGCAGGCTGTCCAGCTTCCATTAGTGGACAATGATGGTGGGGAAGGCATACAAACACACAGCTCGCGACAGGAATCTCTCAGCTCAATAGAAAAGACAGAAAAAGAGTTTTTGTGTAAGAGGAAGAGATCAAATGACTTCCCCAAGGTTTCACTGAAAGACACAGTAGGGACAGGAGCTGAACCCATGCGTCCTGAATCACAGACCTTTATTTCAATCAGAAGACCCTCATTCCTCTTGTATGTTTTGCACTATCTACAGTAACCAAGACTCCCTTGCCCTCTTAAATCAGGAACTGAACGCTAAACCTACAAATCACCTGGAAAATTCAGATGTCTTGATGGAAGGGCAATGGGTTCCAAAGAAATAAAAAACTTTGCTATTGCTCTGGAAGAAGGGTGTCATTTCCTCTGCTGGTCATCTGTGTTGAATCAAGATCAGTTCAGATGGCAACAGGTTAGAACATGCAGAGCCTTTCTTAGAAAAGACACAAAAGAGCACATCTATGCCATGCAGCATCCTCCACAGAGCCATCTTCAAGCCTCCATCCTGGAAGAATGTAGTGTCATGAGGGGCATCACTGAGTCAAGACAGCAATGCAGATATATTCGCAGCTAAGTTAATAAGCCTTACAGCTCAGAAAGGCACACAAATTTAAGTCCAGGGGCATACTTACATTGTTTCTAAGGCTACCTTAGTCACTGCCTATACTGATGAACCTTGTTCTATTATGCAACACAAACATGATTTTTCTTGCTTTCTGCCTTTGCCGAGGCTGGGAAAGTATATGGTTGGGCTCTATAAATATGTCATGGGGTAAATAGCAAGGACCTATTTCTTGAGCTTTTTCAGCTGAAGATTTTCATAGAAAAACAGAACTGACTAGAGCATGTTTGGGTCAGAAGTTCTTTCGTCTGACAGGTGCTTTTCTGTCACAGTGGTGGGGCAAAAAATCCTACCCTTGGTAAGTACAGGCCTTTTTCATTAGTAAAATGATTTGTTATGAAGTTGCCTTCCTCATCAGGAGACTGGGCTGAGTGGAAAGAAAGGCCTCTTCTAGACTCATCTTTTCCAAGAGATCTTCTGAGAAGTATCAGGTGGTCTAGATATTCAGATACCTCCAGAAGGATGAACAAGTAAAGTATTATGCATACATTTGTCAGAGCAGACTGCACATAATAAAACAAAACAGACTTTTCCACCTCTGAAGAAAATTCTAGCAGACTGAGCAGTATACATGCATGTGCACACTCATGAACATACACTGTTTGCAGTACCAAGGCCACCTTCAAGCAATTTCTCACTCTTACAATGCATGTATTTTATGTAAAATAGAATCAGGTCTTTGGGATAGGCTTTGTCTTTTTAGCCTTACATTGTGAACACCCCTTTTAATTAAAAAAGGAAAACCAAATTTCCTTATCTAGTTCCAAGTAGAAGCACAAGCAGCTGCCTGCAGATTCAGCCAGAACCCTTCCAGCATCCTACAATATGTCTGTTGAATTCAGGATCTTGGAACACGTGTAATTCAATGCAGGTGCACATTCATACCTGCTGTAAAGAAGCTGAACTAGTAGTGATGTGTCTGGCCTGAAACTTCATCATAGATTGCTACATCAGTATCATTTAATACCTGCACAGCTGATGCCAATGCTGGCAACACCTTTTAAAAGTCACTGCTGTGTGCTGTGCCTGTTTGGATTAAGAACAACTAAATGATGAAAGTATCAAACATTACAAATGGAGATTATCAAACTCTATTAGAAGTGACCTGGAGGGGGACAATCCTGAATGATCCTTACTGCAAAATAAGTCAGACCTATCTTCCTAATTAAAATATTTAAGAAAAAAATCCAAGACACTTCCCTTCTCTTCCTGTATCCAAATGAAGGTAGAAACAAGAGTTTCCTTTACCAATGATGGAAGCAATACCAAGTATTATGTTAGTATTAAGTGAACCTCCTGCCATCCATTTCTGTTGGGAGTTAATGTCATCTGACTTAAATACGATTAATAAAAGTGGGCTCTTCAGTTCCAACAAACTAAAGCCTTGCAAGTTTATACACACAGCTGCTTCAGGCTCCTCCTATGGTTGATCAGATAGGGTGTCTTTTGAATGGACTCAATGAAACACATTTTCACACCTGTCAGCCATAGATTAATATCCCCACTAATTGCGCTTTAAGAACAGCCAATTAGTTCTAGTTAGAGAAGCTTTCTTGGGTAAGGGGGAGAAGCAGCCTGTTATCACCATCAGTACTCATTGTTCGCCTGAACAGATTTGTGGCCCAAACTGCGTGTGCCTCAGCAGTTTGACTGGAAGCCCTGCTGCACGCCACTGCAATGATGCCTTTATCCTAGCCCCAAACTGCTTTAATGACAATGGAGACAGCAGAGGCGACCATGATTGTAAAAAAGAAAATAAACTAGAGCTATGCTGAGACAACAAAGCCTAACACCCATTTTCAAGCCAGAATTGGTTTGCTGAAATTTCCTAATCAACCCAATTCATTTTTTGTCTAAGACAAAACCTCCTTTTTTTCTCTAAAGGGACAGTACTTAATTTGTAATAAAACACTTGCTCCTGCAAGGGGGAAAAAAAAAAAGTGCAATAATGTTGCTGAATTTGCAAAATGGGGATAAGTAAAGTTCTGGCCTTGAAGCAGCAGTCTTAAGAGTGACAACTGCAGTGCCAACACCACTGGTGAGACACTTGAAAAAACAAGTCAGGGACCAAGGGTTAGTCCGGCCATTCAAACGTGACAGGAAGGCTAGTTAATAAACACCAGCTAACCCCTTCAATTACAGCAATAAATTGTTCAATTGGTTAAATGTCCACAGGCTCTGCCCCAAACACCACTGTGAACTGTTTAACTAGCAAACTCTTGCCTCACTGGACAAACAGATCTTGGTGAGCGCAGGAGGGATGCTTGGCCCTGCGAGAGTGAGGGGCAATGGTGCCCCGTGCAGCTCGCCTTTGCACCACACAACCCGCAATCTTAACAGCTCTGGAGATCATTCATTCCTTGCTGCCAATTTTTTAAAACAGAATTATGACTGTACAGGCCAAATACAGATTAATCACCACTGTTTCCCCATCAGTTTTCTGTATTTCGATAAGACACCACACAAATTACAGGTTCTCACCTGCTGTGAGATTAGATAGCCATGCCTGCGATACGGGTTATGCAGCACAAGAGATACTGAGTACTTGGAAACTGCATGCTGTACAAAACAGACCTGCAGATTATAAATCAGCGGGCCTATTTCTTGAAAATGTTTACCACACTAAATTTGGAATTATTTCACTAAGAGTTAAGAATATTCAAAGCCTTGTAAAATGATTTATCATTGAGATAAATCATCTCAATGATCTTCATACTGGCAATGAAGGGTATACCCATGAGGCATATGCCACCATAACATGAAAAAAATGTACTATAACATAAAGTTTGTTGTAAAAGCTATTAAAAAGAAAAAGTTACTTCTGGTGAACAAAGCAACAAGTTTAAGCTGATCACTGAACATTGATTCAGAGTTAAAGACTCACATAAATTGCCTTTATTGGATCTTTGATCACTTTAATTCTACATAGCCTGTTACTAACTAAAAAACCACACGCTGATGAAGGGGGAAAGTATGTGTGGGCTTTTTTAATCTTTACACTAATTAGATCCATTTACCAGAATTTTCATGTCTGAAAAAAAAAACAACCAACAACCAGTCACAGGAGATAAGTATTATTTGTTACGCTTACACAATGATGTGAAATTGCATTTCCCCGCTGAAGTTTTCTTAATGAACTAAACCCGATGTAAATTTATCACATTTGGGAGTAAAATATATACAGTGTTTGTCTGTGGAAAGCTTCCTGTCTCTCTAGCAAAGGTATTTGTTTGGAAAAGGGCTTTAAACAAAAATGTTCATTTGGAACCAAATTTTTTAACAATGTTGAGGAAATCTACCATTTTGCACTTCTGCCTAAGAAGTAGAGCCTGGATCTTCAAAGGATAACAAAGGCACAGACAGGCAGTTCAGTTTACTGGGGGAGAATGGGGTTGGACTATGTCCCATCCTCCACTTTGCAAAAATGCACAGATCATACTGTTGAATTGAACTTGGAATGCTTCTGGTTGCGCTTACTGGCTCCTGGGAATCATCTCCTGAACACTATCTTCCCCCAGTGAGCCTCAGCACCTAACTCAAGCTTGAAGATTCTCGTCCAAGTACCTACCCACAGAGCTCCACATCCACTCTGGAAAACCTGTAGGTCCAGCAGTCCGTTAGTGCCTCACGCTTAAGGACATAAATGGTCTCATTTCATTTAGCACAAAATCATTTGATTTGATTACGCACATCTTGCAGAGCTAAGCAAAGCAAACGTACATCCGGGTTCACAGTAAGACTTCTGCTGAATTCAGGAGTCGCTGTGTCAATCCTGTAGACTGTTCCGAGCACAAATGTTAATCTTTATGTTGCTAGACCCAACAGAGAAAAATGCTGCAGAGGGACCCTTTCCTGCTAACAAATTACATCAGTTGCTTCATGGTGTATGTGGTGCTTAATTTTAAAATAAATAATTCTTTTAAACCAGTACCGTTAAAAGCTGTGTACTCACTTAAAGAACTTGCTGAATGTCTGAGCCTCAGGAGTGGACAATTTAGAACTACTTCCCCCCCCCCGTTTTGTAGTACTAAGCAAATTAACATCTCAAAAAAGTCTGGGGCTCTGAGGACGGGCTTTCAGTTGACAGTGATTAGCATAGCATCTCTGAATTAAATAGACTGAAGCAATTCACGCCATTGAGAATCCACGGGGGCAGGGTGAGGAGAAACTGCAAATTAGGAGAAGAATAGAGAACACAATACCAGCACTGACGTCCTGGCACACAGGCTTTTATTCTGGAGATAGTTTACAAGCAGTTCGTAACCTTTGCACTCCAGACAGTCTGTAGAACCAACAGGAGGAGGTTCAAGAGTTGGTCTGAACTTTCCATCCAGCCCCGGCACTGTCAATTTTGGAAGGTGCACTGGAACTCATAAAGTCTCCACAAAATGTATGTTAATGAAGCAAAACAAAAAACCCCAACCTTGAAGTGTGCATTCATAAAGTCATTTGACACTTTACTACTTTAATCCAAAAAGGTATTAAGGAGATAAATATTTTTAACTTTGCTATACTTAAAAGGAATTTCTCAGCAAAATAGCTAACGCATTTTTAACACAGAGTCCAAAACCAGCTTCTCATCCCACATTCCTAATTTCAGATTCATTTAAAAAATATTTATAATCTTAAACTTTCTCCAGTTAATGAAATAAATCATAAAAATTGCCCAAGTACGATTTTTCTACCCACGATTGGAGAATTCACAAACCCATATCATTCATGTTACAGATCTGTCAATATTTCACTGATCTGTTTAAAATATCTTCATTTTTATTTAATTCATCATTATAAATGGATTCAGTTATCATATCAAACCATACTCAGGCATGAGTAAGTCTGTCAAGAAAAACATATTTTAAGGGCTACAAATTAAGGTTTTGTTCTTTGACAATAAAAAATAATTAGGAAAATATTTATGGGTACGTATTTTAGTTCGTGAATGAAAGATTCTTATAATAGTTATTATGTACTCTAAAGGATTCCATAACATGTTAACCAGAAAGTGACATTCACTATTAACTTAATTGACAAAGCTTTTGTGCAACCAAAGCCAAATAAAGTACGCTGTTAATAAACAACATAAAAGTTATCTTTTAATTCTCTCATCACTTTATGTTTTTTGCTCTAAGTCACAGGGAACTTAAATGAATTAAATGTACTTACACCAGTGCAAGGATAGCCTAAAGGAAGAGGGAGTTGAATGCCCAGCAATGTTTTAACAAAGAATTTTTACCTGGTCAATAAAAATACCTTAAATGCATCAAATTCTAAACTTCTGTCCTGAACAGAAGCTTTTACTGTGAGCAATAGGTGCTATACAGTTATAAGTCCATGGCCTTATTCAAAGTTAACAATCTCATTTGTTTGCAGAGGTAGGTCGCTTAATTCATCAAGAGAGGAAAGCTAGTCTTAAAAAAATAATCATAGACAGACAATTTCTGATATAGTTAATGGATCTCCAAATAGTTATGATCAAAAACCTGAAATACCAACTTACTCTGCCCATAACTGTGAAAAAAATCCCCACTCATTTAGAAAGTGTTTTTCTAACAGTTTAAGAACTGTTCGCATTAAAGATACGAACTCAAACCATTTATAAGCCAAGATGATAAATCAAGCTGACCACGCAATGCTATTATTCACTGTAAGAACTATGCTTGCATGAGAGGTCTCTTCCATACACAAAATGTAAATTTTTGCCTTTGTAAAAGTTCAGAAAACACAATTGTTATCCCATATGCCTTATGACAAGCAATTTCCGCAGTTTTCGAAGCCCCCCAGCATATAAGCAAGATCCAGTTTTGACTCACCTGGTCTATCAGGTTTTTGCCTTGCACAGAAAGCTCTAAGTTTCAGCACTATCTTGCCCCTTCATTCACCATACAGAGTATCTCCACACAGTAACCTCCTCCATAAAGTATGATCTTGCCTATTTCTCTCCCCTTTGTCAAAGCTTGAAAGCAAAGTTACGCCAACTATCCTGAGCAGCTTTATACTGCATCGAGCACCTGTTCACACAACAGTCACTTACAAAATCAAAGTAACAGCTGAGTCGAGGTCAGCCACCCTATGAACTTCAGGACATACTCAGAGACCCCACTACCCTCCTTCCCTCCTGTCTGTATTTGAAAATAGCAGCTCTAGCAACGTGATGCCTGCCTTCCCTTCCCTGTTTGAGCCGGCAGTGAAAGCCCTCCTGCTGTCTTCTACTCCTAAGAAAGCATTAGTCTCCAACTTGTGCAATGCCTCTCTGCAGAAATAAGACAGCTCATCCCACACTGATAAGAGTTTGTATGAGGAGCACAGGTTCAACAGAGTGGGTTAACCATTAGCTAGCACCCATATATATCATATTACACTCACTATGAATGCTTGTTAAGGTATGCTTAAATGAAGTTTAGTTTAAGAGGAGCACTTGGGGCAGTCAGTCTTCTCTAAGCACCACTGAAGGATAACACCCGCTTCCCCAACACAGCCCCAACACAAAACATCACCATGCACACAGAGCCAGCCTTGGGCACCAGCTCCACATTCGTCAAGCAGTGGCTGTCATACACTTCATTTACACAACTCACATGTTTATTACTGATACCAAAACTGCTCAAAAGGAATTCAGGGGCACTAAAAACTCACATTAGCTGTTTGCAGGTTCAACAAACATCCTTCCACATTCACCTATAACATGCTTCACCCTAAAGGCTGAAAGCAGCAGCTTTTATTCCAAAAAAAAAAAAAAGTGGAAATTTACCATGCTTCTTCAAATCTTCCCCCCCCCAGTTACTCATTCTGCTCAGAAAGCTACTTAGTCCTGCCATTACTTTGTATTAACCTGTATCTTGACAAAAACTTTAGCTGCAACGATAGTCTGTCATGTCACACAAATGATTTTGTCAAAAGCAACCCATGAGGTTTATTATTACAGACTTTTAGTACAAAACCATCTCGAAGCCACAAGCAAGAGCACTGTGCCAGGCATCATGTAAAGGCATAGAAAGAAACCTCACCACCTCAAAGAGTATGCAATCAGATAGAGAAGGGAGACACAAAGTGAAAAAAGGGAAGTGGCATTACCTTCACTTCACAGGACAAACAGTATGTATTGAGGCTTAGAAAGATTAAGCCCCTTCTCCTGCAACTTTAGACTTAGCATGGCGGCTATTAACGTTACAGGGCTTTGTATGCATGCCAGGGCTCACCAACACCAGGACTGAAGCACAGGGATTGTCAATCTCCAGTAATTTAGTCTAAATGTGTTCAGTCTAGGAGCCGAACACATTTCTCCTATGTCTCACCCACAGTTTTAACAACCCCAGCTTTACCACATTTTCACACCTATACACCCTTCTTCTTGTGGCAGTTGGTGCTACCCTGTTCCTGGTTTATATTAATTCAAGATCCAGATCTAGTGCCTAGCTTTTCAATCTTTGTAGCACAAATAAGATTAATTTTTAATTTTAAGGCCCTGATTCAGCAAAACATTTAACTATGTGCTTAATTCTATCCCTATTCAGTAAAGTACTTAAGTATTTGCTTAATTCTCATTTACTCCTGAGACTTGAACATGTGCTTAAAGATAAGCCTCTTCTTAAGTACTTTGCTGAACTAGGGCCTAAACTGTGACCTAAGAGCCAGGGAGAAAAAAATAGATCAGTAACATCCAGTGCTATTTCATCATAAATATTAGGTTAGCTGAAAGGAAAAGATAAAGAAAAAATAAAACCACTTTGATTCAAGTAGTAAAGTTGTCTTATAGAAGAGACCAATTTTATACAATCCTACTAAGACTTATCTCTTAAAAATTCCTTCTTGTTGCCAACTTGTATCTACAAACATGCCTTATAGCAGTGTGTTGAACCAACCACTCATGCAGTTAGGTGACTGGAATCTTGAAGTTTTTTGAGCCAGGTACCTGATGATCAAGTATAAAATAAAACTCAGAGCAGAATCTAATTTAATGAGTACAGTTGAACAGAATTCAGGTTTTTATTATTTTAAGACAAAAATAATGAAGAAATTGGGAAGATATCAGGGAAGGGACTCCAAGGTAAAAGCAAGAAGAAAAAAAAGATAGACTCTGGTGCTCCCCTAGGAAAAAACTGCTAGAGCTTTGTCATCATCAACAGAGACCATGCAGACACTGTGTAATATACTCCCTTGCAAAAAGGTCTCATCATGGTTGGATCCTTGGGCCACCATGCAGACAACAGAAGATCAGGATCAAAGAAGCCCTTGGCAGGGGAAAATGTGCCTACACATCTAAGCTCAGGCTCAGACAGTACAGATGGCAAAACATTACTTTATTTCAAAAAGGACAAGTATATTGGCTTGGCGCTCATCTTCTTATGTATTTGTCTGCCCTACCTTAGGACCTTGAATCATTCCATAAAGCATGCTTCTCCAGTGGCAAGATCCTAAACTGACCAAACATACCTTTTTTACTGCAGGCTCACTGTTCAAGCTAAAGCTACCTTGCCTGCTTCAAGGATCAACAGAACTGGCACGGACAGAAACTACTGGGAAGCTGCAAGTCAGAAAAAAACATCTGTAGATGAAACTTACATTCTGTTTCTTCCAACACTGCACCTCTATCATTTCACTGGCAAAGTCTGGACAAGGCAAAGTACTAAAACTGGATATACTCCACTAAACTGTAGAAAGATGCCTTCATGTATGTGGATGCCTCAGATGACTTTTACCTTCAGAGAAACTGGCCCACTAGCATTTTGCCAAAGGGGCCCTTCCCACAAACTAAGACCTGTCACTGGCAGGTCTCCTGCTGGCAAATCTTTCATGTCAGCCACTGCTGCTCTCTTCCTTCTGGAACTGCTGTTTCTCTGTAGCTGAGTTCACTGTTTTCATCTACCTTTTGATTTCTAGCAAACAGGAATGCTATTTAATCTTCGCAGTTCCTAACTTACACATATGCTTAACTTCAGGCACTGTGAATGGTTCCACTGAAGCCTTAGTTATGGTACATAAAGCTAAAACATATGCACAACTGCCTGCAGGATTGAGGCCTAAAAACCTGAGTATTTACTAGCTATTACCCGTTTGATGGATCCATCCCACTATAATGATGGATAAAAGTGTTCATAAAGAAAGCTTTGAAGATGAGAGATACTCCTTAAGTACATGTGTGGAGTAGGGGAAGTAGAAAGGACTAGAGACACAGATTGCATTGGCTGCCCTCATGTTTGCCATAGAAACCACACATCATTATTAGCAGCTGTAGGATGAAGCAGCCTACTAGGTTAAGGTAGCTCCTGGTATTTTGGATGAGCATGTCCAAACAGAACCAGAGAGCCAGACAGCAGAGGCTGCTCTCACCTCAGTTCAGTCCTCAAAAGGAAGATGCCCCATGTGGACACACCATTCCCTGGAAAGCTCTGCTGCAGTAATACCTATGCTTACCATCAACATGCACCTCTGTCAACATGGCCTTTGTCTCTCTCCTGCCCGTGTGGCAGTGGTCATGGCCAAATGCTAACACAGAGGATGGTGAAGGGATGAAAAATATTTAATCTGTGTACCCATTGTCATAAGGGTAGGAAAGGTCACCTGGCGCTCCCCTTCAGTCACACACGGAGGCAGGTACCTGCTGTACCCTCCTCAGCTGCTGGGGCTGTGGAGGTATAAAATATTTCCTAACAAAAAGAAACTGGATCACTTGCCTGAGGGAGCCATAACATTTATTCTGATGACAATGAAAGACAGCTTTGATCACCGCAGTGGCCATATATCTCTGACTGGAGACAGCAAACCCACCTCAACACAGTTACAACTCGTGTACCAGCCTCCTTCCTCCTGCCAGGCTGGATGTCAGGCTAATCAGTTTCATCTGACAGATTTTAATTAAATTAATTAGGGCCCTTCTGAATGGACTTCATTAGTGTTTCATAGAGGAACCCCTGTGAAAAGAAACCCTGTCGAGAAAGGCACTAATATTTTTCTCCTCTCACAATGAGAAATTTCTTGGGTTGTTACTGCATTTTTTACACCATTAATAAAAGTACTTTATAAAGACATAGCATATGATGGTTTTTGAAGCATGACACCCAATTATATTAACAATAGCCTTCTACAAATAAACAGAAGATTTTCGTATCCTCCTTCAAGCAATTTTGTCATTCTGAAGTTACTGCCAACTCCAGCATTTCAAATACAACCAGTTATCCTGATTTAAACAGAAATATGCAAAATCAAGATGTAAACCAGTCCTAATCACTTCCAATCAACCTTCTCTGAGTAGCTTCTCATACCAAAACATGTAGAAATGCACTGTTGCTAATACTGTGAGAGACCACCTTGCTCCCTACATTGGTTTGTGCAAGAACAAAGACTACTTTTGTTCCACAAGACCTGACTGAGACTGTGTCGGCACCATTTTGAAAGGGTTCAATATGGTCAAAACCCCCTCTTGTCTGCACAGGCACAACAGTACAACCGAGTTAGAAGGCATCATTTTGCTTCCCATACCGTATTTGGGACCTGCAGAAGTGCTGAAGCTGGAAACCCCCTGGTGCTGGTAAATGACATGTGGTCACAGTCACACCATCCACAGGAGAAGTCCCATCACCCATAAAGGCGCAGCTAGTGCACGCTAAGTAGCTGGCCCTGCAGCTAGTAATAACCACTGCTGTATCAGAGCTAGTCCAATGGACACATGCTTCAGAAGCATATTAAAAAGTGACATAAAATCCTAAGTTTACAAACAGAAAAATTCATTGTACTGTAGTTACAGAAAGGTCATCCTTCACTGAATGATAACCATAAAAATGCAGGTAATTCTTACTGCTAGTTTAAACTAAATGTACTTGAAAAAATTAACTCATCTCTAAATATTCTTATTTTATTTTCCTTGTAAGTCCACCAGGCAGAAAGTGAACTTCTTTGCCCACTTTTCTATCTCCCATTTCTCCCACGCTTTATAGGTTTAATGTAACAGTAAATGAAGCTTCCAAAATACCTTGCAAAGGATTCTGAATTCAACCTGAGAGAAACTAGCAGTGATCTTGTTGTGACTGAAAGGATGCTAAGAGCTCAGGTGCTGTAAAGACTTCACTTCACCTACCAACACTTCGTTTCTCTCTGAATCCAGAGTGGTTATTCAAAACACTTGAGCTTGAAGTGTCAAATGATGGTGAGCCCTACAAATCTTTTTCTGACACAGGCTGAACAGCAAAGGGAACCAAAGTGGGAAGATGCTGCATTTGGAACAGAAGTCAAAATGAAGGGGGGGGGGGGGGGGAGTCAATAGGAAAAGGATAGGAAAAGGAGGCAAAAAGGGTGGGGCAATAAGCTAGAGAGAGAAAATTAAGGCACAGGGTACTCTAAAGGAGTGAATTAGATAAAACAAGAGGTAAGGCTGGCCTCCAAAGAAAGAAAAGATCTTGCAGAAGATAAAATAGTGTTAAAAAGCACTTATTTTATTAAATAAGGGGAAACAAGAAAAAGAAAAGGCCATTAATATTT